ATCATTATTAATGTAACTATCACTATCATTTTTACTATTATTTTATTTTTTATCATTGTTATTATCATCATTATGTTAATTTTTGCTGCTACTGTTTTTATCATTGTTTTTGTTTTTATTATTCACATCATCATTATTTTTTATCACTATCATCGTCATTATTATCATCATTTTTATTATCAGTATTATTATCATTCTTATTATCATTACTGTTATCATTATCATTTACATTATGGGTACTTAAATATTCTTTTTTATTGTTATGTTTTCTTTTGTTATAAATGTTGTAATTATTCTTAGCATAATCATTCATATTGTTCCTATTATAAATGTAATTTTTTTTTTTTTTTTTTTTTTTTTTTTTTACTATTATTATTACTACATTTTATTGATTTAGTTAAAGTATAAAGACGCTAATGATAGACTTTTTCCTCTTCTTTTCTCCTTCCCACCTTCTCTCTCTTTTCCACCTTTCCTCATCTCTTCACTTTTTCCCTCACTTCTTCCCTCTGTTCTTCCTTTTCCTCTTCCTCGTTTTCTTTCTCTATACTTCTCCCTTTTACTCTTTCTCTTTTCTTCTTTCAAATCCTCCCTTTTTCTCTTCTCTTTTTCCATAACTTTCTCTTCCTTCCGCTGCTTCTCCTCTTCCTCCTTTCTTGTCTCTCTCGTTTCCTTCCTTCCTCTCTCTCTCCTCTTCCTTCATTCCCATCCTCCACCTCACTTCTTCCTCCCTTCTTCGCTCTCTCTCCTCTACTTTTATCTTTTCCTTTTCCCCACTTTCTCCCTCCTCCACTATATCCTGTCCAACTCTATCTTCCCTTTCTTTACGTTTCCTCTTTCTCGCTACATTTCTTTCCTTTCCACTTTCTCTTCTTTTGTTTGTCTCACTTTCCTTTATCCTCTTCATTAAAAAAAAAAAAAAAAAAAAAAAAAATCTCTTCTTTCTATTCTCTTCCTCTATTCCCTTTTCCTTCCGTACATCATTTCATTGTCTTCATTCTCTGCATCACCTCCTTTTTCCAACTTCCTCTCTTTCTCCTTTTCTACCTTTCTTTCTCTTCATTTCTCCTTTCTTCCTTCTTTTTTTTCTCCCTCTTTTTCTACCTTTTCTCTCTCTCACCTCTCTTACTTTCTACTTTTCTCTCCCTTTCATTTTTCCCTCTTCATTCTTCTTTCCTACTGTGCTCTTCCATTTTATTTCATTCTCTTCTCTTTTCCCCTTTCTTCTCCATTTTTCCTCTTACTTCATTCCCCCCTTCGCTCTTTCCTCTGTCTCCCTTCCCTCCCTTACTGTTTTTCTCTCTTTATCCCTTCTTTCCCTTCCATATTTTCCCTCTTCCTTCCTCCTTCTCACTTCTTCCCTCCTATTATTCCCATCCCCATTCTCATCCTCCCTTTCACTTCCCTTTCCATCCTCCTTCCCATCACCCATCAACACGACGGTTAATACGAGCTTCTTCCTCCCTCAGGCTGGACGCCGTTGCATGGGGCAGCCAGGAACGGTCACGTCTCAGTCACCGAATTGCTGCTCGAGAAAGGCAGCGACCCCAACGCCAGAGACGAGGTAGGGCGACAGGAGCGACATTTTTTTTTTTTTTTTTTTTTTTTTTTTTTTTTTTACTGTTATTGATTGTATTGTTATTTTATTTCTAATCATTATTTTTTTTTGTGGAGATATTCATTAAAAGCGATAATAATAATGATAATAATAATGATGATAATGATAAAAGTAATGATATTAGTAATGATAATAATAACAAGGATAATGATGATAAAAGAGAAATGATGATAAAAAGATTTTTAAAAAAGTATGATAAAAAATATATATGTATGATAAAAATAAATAAAAAACGAAAAATAAAACAAATCACCTAAAGTAGGTTAAAAGTGAGAAAAAGAAATGAAAAAAAAAATTTCATAGTTATTATTGGTCATATTGTTTTTAAACATTATCTTTATCTTTTATCATCATCATTAATAAAAAGGATAAAAATGATATTACCAACCGTAATTATCATAATGACGGTAATAATGATATATGGTCATTATGATTATCATTACTATTACTACTAATTTTCATTATTGTTATTATTATTATTAATATCATTATCATTATGATCATTATCTTTGGTATTATTGTTGCTGTTATCATTATTATTTTAATTATTATTATTGTTAGTATTATTATAATTGTTATTATTATTGTCATTATTATTATTATTATTACTTTCATAAATATAAATATTCAATTAGATAGATATATTTCATATCCCTATTTCATTTAGCGATTTGTGGAACCATGCAATATCTTGAGAATAAAGATCTCGGGAAAAAGTGACTAATTGGCACCTTTCGCCATGTTCCCGCGCTTTTAACAAGAAAAAGAAGTGGTTTGTACGCCAGTATTTAACCTATCAAAGGCACCTTGTGGCTGTTCTCTTCACATGAGATGGTGTTATGCTAAGTAGTGCTCTGAGCTTTTGTGTTCTGTGCTTATAAACGCCATTTTTATGTCATAGTCAGAGCGCGAGTTTTTAGTGGGAGTTGCCAATTAGTCACTTCCCAGAGCCGATATTTATTCTCGATATATACCATGTTCGACAAATTTGCCAAATGATGTTTGCATGGACCTGGTGTCTACATTCTTATACAGGAGTAAATAAATATAGATAGATTGATATAAATATATATGTCTGTATATGTATGTGCGTATGCATATGTATGAAGCTGTTCTCGTTAGTAGTAGTAAGTTGTATTTTTTTATTATTATTATATCATTTGGTTATCATCACAATTATTTATTATTATCACGATTATTGTTTTTATTTGTCTATTAATATTATCATTATTAATGTATGAATCACTATCATTTTTACTTATATTGTAATTATTATCATTGTTATTATTATTCTCATTATTATTGTTGTTGCTTTCATTATTTGTGTTGTTGCTTTAATTATTAATTGCGTAAACATCAATATTAACCTGAAAATCATAGTTTTTATTATTGTAAATGATAATTATTTTAATCATTTAATACTGTGATAATAATTGCTATTATTATTATATTTATCATTATTATTAATAATGATCATATTATCATTATTAGTGATTTTATCATTCTTATATTTTTCTATTATTGTCATTATCATTATCATCATTGATTCTTTTATCATTGTTATTCTTGCTTTTGTTGTTTTCCAGTTATTTTTTACATCATCATTTTACACTATTATTATCGTTAACATCAATATCACGATCACATTAAATGACTTTTCCGGTGGGCGGAGCTTAATTAGCGAAGGCAGTGATCGCCTCTTCAACTCGGACACATTCCAGAGGCCACGCCCATGCACCTCGCAGCTTGTGAAGGACATCGGGGGGCAGTGGAAGCTCTCGCGGCGGGCGGGGCCGACGTGGACCCCGTCGACCATGAGGGCGACACGCCTCTCCACGGAGCAGCTTCAAGGGGGCATCTTCTGGCGGTGGGCGCCCTGGTTGGCCTCGGGGCGTCCACCAGCAGGAAGAATGAGAGAGGGAAGACTCCGCAGGACCTGTTGGGGGACCGGTTGGGGAAATCCCCCGCTGAGAGAGTCTTCTCCTTGGTAAGGACAGCCGGCAACCGGATGGAGTGATATGGATTTTTTTTTCTGCCATGTTTACCGTCATTTCCCCCTTTTTACCGTTTTTTTTATTTTCTTTATTTTTTTTTGGGGGGGGGCGCCATGTTTACCCTTTTTTCTTTTTTTTTTTCTTTTTTTTTTTACCATGCTTACTGGCCTAATGTTCTGTTATCAGGCTGGGCGCCTTGGTCATGATTATTTTATTTTCATAAATATTATTATTACAAATTATTTATGTTATTTTTCATTATAATTATCATTATCATTATTATGATTATAAATTTTTTGATTACCATCATTATCATTGTTATTATAATCATAAATATTATCAAATTATTGTCAATGTTATGTTTCGCAAATTAATCTCTTTTTTTTCTTTTTTCTTTGTTCTTTTTCATTTATTATTTATACATCCAATGCCTTAATTCCAGTCAACTAAACAGGGCTCCTTTTCAGGCGAAGGAATGTGCTGCGGACGAGAAGGAAAGGATGAGGAACATGCAGGTGAGTTCGCTAGGGAAAATGTGCTGTCAACTTAAGCGTACATATAATGAGCCATATAAAAGAGGGAGATGAAATACAACAGTGGAATAATGGGAATATATAATATATATATATATATATATATATATATATATATATATATATATATATATATATATATATTTATATATTTATATATTTATACAAATATATATATATATGTATGTGTGTGTGTGTGTGTGTGTGTGTGTGTGTGTGTGTGTGTGTGTGTGTGTGTGTGTGTGTGCATAAGGTAAATCAAACATGGAATTATGTTGCGCAGAGTAAGACTAACCGAAGAAATGATCTCTGATCCGCTTCTGGATTTCAATTCCCGCTTCATTTACCGAGTCTTAATTGGCCGATGATCGTCTGGTGTCGCTTTGGCTTCAGTGCCAGAGCGGTTTCCTGGAGGCATTCCTGAGACTTTTCTCTCGCAGGAAGAACACGAGAAGCAGGAGAATGACTTAAGGGAAATGAAGAAGAAGGTCGACTCGAAGGAGGCGGAGGCAGCCAACTTGCGGAAGGAAAACGGGAAGCTGAAGCAGGAACTTCATGAGATGAAACAGAAGTGCGACTCGAAGGAGGCGGAGGCAGCCAACTTGCGGAAGGAAAACGGGAAGCTGAAGCAGGAACTTCATGAGATGAAAGAGAAGTGCGACTCGAAGGAGGCGGAGGCAGCCAACTTGCGGAAGGAAAACGGGAAGCTGAAGCAGGACCTCCAGGAAAACAAAAATGAAATTAAATTGATAAAGGTAAGAAATATAGAGATGGGAGATGGGAGGCGGGATAATGAAGAAGAAAGGAGGGAGAGGAGAGAAGAAAAGAGATAAATAGAAAAAAGGGAAGACGCAT